ACATACACTCTCCTCTCACACCCGGTGGCGGGGGTTGCCCTGGGAGACCAGGCAGTGAAAGGGAAAAATCCTTGGGGAAAGGGAAAGGAGGGGGAGGTGGCGAGCTGTGTGAAGACTTGGACACAAGAAGAACTGGAGGTGGCAGGGAAGAGGATTTGGAATTTATTAGGGTCACAAGCACCCCTGCCTCCCATGTTCAGCATTCTCTGAGCCATACACGGCCACCCTTTTGTAGCCTGGGAACTGAGAGTCTGCGTCTGCAGGGGGCCCGGCGGGGCGGGGCGGGCAGGGTGGTGGAGGAGTGAGCAGGGTCCAGGGTCCTTGAAGTGGTTACATGAAGAGGCCCCCTGGAAGGAACAGAAACACTTGGGCAGTTGAAAAGGCGGAGGGCCACTGGGCTGGGCACGCCCACTTCGGTCCCTGGCCCGGGGGAAGGGAAACGCATTGGCTTCAGATTCCCTCAACTGGCATTCGCATCTCCTGAAGGTCCCACTTCTCTGCCCTCCCCTTCCCCCTCCCCACACCAGCCTCTTACCAGTGACTTCTACCGAGGCCCCTGTGATGTAGCCACTGTCCTCAGAAGCCAAGAACGCTACCACGTCCGCCACATCTAGGGGTGTGGTGGGGAGAGGCCGACTCCTGCTGACCCCCCTGGGCCCAAAGTAATCATCATCTCCAGCCCCGCCCCAACCACCAATCTTGGTGGGGCCCTCTCACATGGACCGCAAACCTTGGGGTTTCTTCATTCGGGGCCCCTTCCCCACTCAGTGCTCACCCTCAGGGATCCCCATCCGTCCCATCGGGACCATCCTGATCACCTGTAAGGAAACACGCCCACGTGGATGAAAGGTCCTTTTGTGGATCCTTTTGTCCACTGAGTGAAGCCTGTGTCCACCCCCCTGCCCTTTCCAGTCCTTTGCCCCTGGGACATTGAGGGAGCATCTGTGATTTGCCAGGCCCTGTGTTCGGCATTCTCTCAGAGCCCAGAGCGATGTGTGTGGGCCGTGTCCTACCTTGTCCTGCACCTTTTGTGGCACCTTCTGTGTCAAGGGGGTCACAATGAACCCTGGGAGCACACAGTTACAGCGGATCCCGTGGCTGTGGGGGGAGAGTGGGTGCTGACTCCAGAGAGCACTGCATGCTGAGTTTCTCCCGCAGACACCTCCCCTCCCCCAGCCTCAGTGAAGGCCCCCTGGGGGTCTGGCCAACCGTCCAAGCTCCAGGGCTACTGCCTGAGTCAGTCCGATCACTCCGGCCTTGGAGGCAGCGTAGTTCGTCTGTGTCAAATTCCCCACCTATAGGTGAGTCAGAGATCGGATATAAGTCGTCGGTTCCCAGGAGGGGCTCTCCTCTACTCCCACATCACCAGTTGACCTCCTTAATTTAGTCTGACCTTTCCTACGATGCTACTGATGTTGATGATGGAGCCGTGACAACCGCTGGACACCAGGGCTTGGGCTGCGGCCTGCGTGACGAGAAAGGTGCCCTAAGGGAGTAACAGGGGAAAGAGGATCAGCTGCAGTGATAGCCCGCTTCCAAGTCCCTCCCCAGGCTGGGAGGCCAGAAGTCACAGGGGCAGAGGTCACCACCTTGAGGTTGACAGCGAGGACTTTGTCCCAGCCGTCCTCAGACATGTGAAGCAGAAACTCGTCCCGGGTGATGCCCGCACTGGACACAACGACAGATGGCGGCCGGGAAAAGCTAGCCTGTGGGAGGGGAAGGTTACACACCCCCCAGCCCCCCAAAACAGCGGGGCAGCGTCAGCGTGTTTCAGGGCGAGGTCCGTGCGTGCACCTGCACTTGCTCCAGCAGGTGCTTCGCGGCGCCCGTCTCAGACACGTCCGTCTGGAAGGCAGCGTGGGCCCCAAGGGCTGCCCGCTCTGCGCTCCCGGGCCCGCGCAGCAGCCGCACCGTCTCCTGCGCCGCTGCTGCATCGAGGTCGCAGGCGGCCACCGTGGCTCCTTCCCTGGCCAGGCGCACGCTGACCGCCCGGCCGATGCCGCTGCCCGCACCTGCGAGGGGAAAGGACGGGAGCGAACACGCCCGCCGGGGGCAGAGGGTCACCAGGGGGTGGGGCGCAGGAGTCGCCCGCCTTCTGCACACTAGTGATTTCAGACAAGGTCCCAGCGGCCGCCGCCGCCGCAGGGCCCAAGGGCGAGCCCCCCTTGCCTTGCCATGACTCCAGAACCCCCAGCCCAGGGAGAACACCCCGCAACCTGTGACCAGGGCCAGCGCGGAGCGCAGCCGGAGCGGAGCCGCCATGGCGAAACGGCCGCGGGAGGCAGGGACCGCGGCGCCCAGCCAATCCGAGCGCGGAGGGGGCGTGGCCAGAGCCAACCGAAGCCAATAGGCGGCGCCAGCTCCAGGCGTCTGCGGCCACCAGCGGGGCGCGGACCCCCCACCGCGTGGGCGCGGCCACATCGCAGATTAGGGACCTGGGCAGCCAAGGGCCCACAGCTGCCACTTCCCAAAACAGACCAAGACTGCATGTGGTGCGGTAGATCAGATCCGAGGACTTTATTTCCGGACACCACCCCACCCCTCAATTCAGCGACATTAAAAAAAATAAGATAAGGTCAAGAGATTAGCAAGTAACTCTCTTGCCCTGCCCCCCCACCCCCAATCACTCCCAGATCAGGGCACACGATTCACAGACGTTTAATGGATGTTCACCACCCCCCACCCCAACCCCGATTCTTCTCCTCTGTCCAGGGCTCTGAACTTCCTGGAAGCCTCCAGCAGGTGGGAGAGAAGCAGGTGGCCCTTGGAGAAGACTGTATGTGGCAGCTTGGTCCTCTGAGAGTCGGTGGAATTGGGGACACTGGTAGGCTGGCATCATCCTACTCCCTTCCAGTTTTCTTCACAGCCCCCTTTAGCCCCTGAAATCCCAACTCTGTGGTCAGTTGGTGCCCAACAGTGCGGTCCTTCTGGCTGCTGCTTCTCACCTGGATAGCCCCTGCTCAACTGCCAAACTGCTATGGTTCCACCGCCCAAATCACCACTTCTGAGGCCACAGCTCTTTCCTCTGGCAGATATTCCTGGTCCGAACCCCCAATCTGGAGTGACGGGCTGGGGCCTTGAGGCAAGAGTAGGGGGCAATTCCTCCCGCCTCTCACTCGAGGTGGGCTATCAGCACCATCATTACAACACCGCCCAGCAGCCCCAGCACTTCCAGAAGTGACTGCAGTGGGGAGGCCTCCCTCAACAGCTCGGGCAACACAGACACCGTGGCCACATAGATGAAGCCCCCTGCAGTGAATGGCAGGACCCAGCCAGGACCTGTACTGCCTGACACTGCACTGCCCACTGCCCCTCCTTCAGCCAGAAGGGCACAGGCTGTGCCCACCAATGCCCCGACTGCCGTCACCAGCTGCAGACGCATTGCCTGGAGAGCAGAGAAGAGAGACATTAGTCAGGAGTAAATGAGCATCACTGTGTCAGCTATGGCTGGTGGGGGCTGTGGGCATACACGGGTAGGGTGTATGTCTTTGGAAACTAAGGGGAAAAGGGAGGGCATCGAGAGTAGGCATTTTCTAGAAAAATCTTACGGAGAGTTTAGGGCAGACACTCAATCTGACTCAGGGGAGAGTAAGGAGCGGGGTGAACATAAACCATTCACTGCAGAGACTACAGTTAAAGACATGCTAAGCTACGGGACAACGAAACAGAATGCTCTCTTCTTCATTTCTAGAGGGGGTTTTTAACGACAGCAGGACTTGCGCGGTCTTGGATTTCAGGTGGGCGAGCAAGGACACAGGACTTCAGGCAACCAGGTTTGGTGCAAATCACCACCAACCTGCTTTTTGCTGCAGCCAGACTGGACCAAGATGGCGAAGTCTCCGACTTCATGGGGCACTTCATGTAGCAGGACCGTCACAGTGGTCAGGATCCCCAGTCCTCGGCCTCCTCGGAACGAAGCGCCGATCGCCAGGCCGTCGGTGAAGTTGTGTGCCAGGTCAGCAGCCAGATTCAGATACCCCGACACACGGAGATCTTGGGGAACGGGAGGGCTATCAGAGCAGAGGCAGCCACTGTTGCCAGCCCAGCTCTTCTCACCCCTCCTCTGGGAGACCACTCCACACGCAGGCCCCCTGTGGGCCTCAGCCGTCTGCTGTTACACACGGCGCGTCCTCCACGGGCACTGATTCCGGAGCATGCCCACTGCTTTGGCTGATGCTAGCCTTGACCCTCACCTGAGCCTGCTGTTTCCTCTTCAGCGTTCTGAGGTCTCACCGGCCCATCTTTGGGCCCCGTGCTCCCTCCTTTCCTCTTCCGTGGCCCCCCGGTATCCTTTTCTTCTCCCTCGGAACTCTGCTTCTCCTTTGAAGGACCTTCTGGAGGAAGAGAGGTGTTGGTAAGAGTGGGGACACACACATCGCCTGACATGTTTTCAAGTGAAAAGCGCTCTTCCATCCAACAGCCACAGACAGATGCTGAGGCAGACAGCTCACCTTGCCTTCCATGTCCATGGCTTCCATGCGTGTGACCATGCGTGTGTCCGTGTCCTCCTTTCACATGTCTTACAAATTTCTCCACCACAAGGAAGGCGACAATTCCACCGAGGACCCACAGCCCCACGGAGAGAATGGGGCCCTGGCCTGGGGATGTTAAGGGGAACGATGTTAAGGGGAATACACAGGTTCGGATTCCTCTTCCCCAAGTGTAGATGCTGACCGGGAAGGGCAGACGGTTCCCAACCGTAATCCCAACTCCATTCCTCTTTGCCCCTTCCTCACCACTGTGCGAGTGTCCGTGTCCACCTGGCTGCTCCACCGGGGGGTGGTGGGAATGAGGCTCTGGGGCAAGGGAGAAGGCCAGATGAGAGAACAACCACTCCTGGGGTACGCACCAGAGGATATGGGAAGGGGAGAGATCCCCCTCTACCCAAGGAATAAACCATCTTCCGCAGGGATCACTTACCCAGGGCGTGAGGGATGAGGTGCAGAAAGGCATCTCCTAGAAGGCCCCCAGAAGCAAAACTGAGCAAGATCTGGAGCAATGAGCGATGCCGAGGGGAGTTCGACTCCACAGGGATAAGGAAGAGGACAAAAAACGGAGCTGCCGAGATCAGCACTGTGGCCCCAAGTGCCTGGTGAAGGAAAGGCCAGGATGCAAATGGTGCCGGTTTTCGAACAACTCAGTACCAGCCCTTCTCTCCCCCATCCCCTGGGGACTCACATAGGCCCAAAGAGTGACAGTGTCCAGGTCCTGCTTGATGCCTGGAGCCCCAGACTCCCCATAGCCTCCATGGCTATGCGCATGGTCATGTCCATGTCCTCTGTGGGAGAGGCTCTCATGGGAGTGGCCATGGCTATGGCCATGGTGCAAATCCTCATGTGAATGTCCATGGTCGTGACCGTGGGTATGTCCATGCCAGATGCTCTCATGAGTGTGGCCATGGCCGTGGGCATGGCTGTGTCCATGGTGGAAGTCCTCATGTGGATGCCCATGGATGTCCTTGTGCAGGTCGCCGTGACCCTCGTGTCCGGCCACCAGCAGCCCCAGGGCCGCCCAGATCAGCAGTCCCACGGTCACCCGGTGGGGAGACCCCAGGCCTCTGGCCATCATGCTGACCGGAGGGATAGAGGCGGTGACTTTGCTTGCCCCTCCAATTCTACGCCTACACAGTAGACACTTTACCCCGATCGGGCCTTCAGTCCACCTCTAAGGACCCCTCCATTCCATTCGGTGCCCACCCACATTGTTCCCAAGACTCGTTGTCTTTATCCTGTCCCCCCCCTTCACGGATGTAGGGCCCCGGGGGCTGCCGCTCTAGGCTTCGATCCGCCGCATCAGGGGCCCTCTGGGCCCTCGTCTCGATGATCCATTAGGTGGCGGACAAGGCCCGGAAAGAATGGTGGGTGGGGGGAAGCAAGGGGATTCTTACCGGCTCCGGGATCCTCTCTTCTCCCAGTCGGCTCGGACGTGGCACTCGCCGCTGTAGCTCCCGCGAGAACAGGGAATTCCGCTCTCCCGGCGGGCGTCCGAACCCC